GCTAGTATGCTCAGAAATTAGGTTAAAAGAACATAAGCAACTCCACTATCTTCAAAAAATATGACTTGTTTCCTTAATACACAGCTATGACTATGCATATACTTTAATGAATTACTTCCACTCAAATTCTTCACCTCTAGCAGAATTGTTGTGTAGATTCAACTGGACATTTGTTTATTCAACTTTATGGATTGCTGATAGGCCTATAGGTTAAAGAGTGAGATTCACACAGACTAAAGTGTTGCCAGTGGTTGGCCTCTGACTTTTTTTGGGAAGGACAGTTGTTTCCTCCTTGACTCCTCCTCATCTAATTCAATCAGCCTCTTCAACTTGATTAGCCTGGTTAACCTTTGCACCCAGTCGGGTCTGGAGGGGTTAATCAGGCCGGGATCTCAGAGACCTTTAGGTCAGTATCCCTCTGTCTCCCGCTTGAAGGACTTGCTGAAGGCAGAGATAAGATTAAAGTGAACTTTCATCCTTGTCTTGCCGCCTCTCCCCAATGCAAGGAGGCTCACCTGCCCCTGCCTGATCCCACTATTCCAGTATTACCGACTCCTTAAAACCTACATTATTATTCAGAATATATTCCCCTTTTCTATCAAATATAGTTAATTCAGGAGGCAATACATATATTCTCGTGTTTGAGTGCAGCTCCGTCAACAAGTAGGTCTATAGGCTACACATTTTTCAAAATTTCTGTCAATTCATTTGTTGACTACACATGATTTTAGTGAACAAAAGGTGTACTGTTGTTTCATTTGTTAGTTTAACCTGTTACACGAGTGGAAGCTTTTTCAAAGCATGACCATGAATCTCAACCACTGACTCGGCCATTCACTGTCTATCGAACTGCGCTCATCTGTGCGCACTTTGCTTTACAAACAATAATAAAGTGATTTACTGCTTTTCCGTGCAATGAGCATGAAAAATCGTTAAAGATCCTGCAATTTGTGTGTGATCAGTAACTATTTAGTGTGGCGAGTTAGCGACATCCTAGTCTCCTCCTAATCGATGTAGGTGCTCTATTGTGTATAGAGGCTTCCTGTGCCCCTATGCTTTGAGATTCTGTCTTGAGGAGAGCATTTTACCCAAGAAGTGCACCAGCACAGAGGAAATGCCTTTTGTAACTCTATCATTGATTCTTCATAGACATAGGTCCTGCGTTTATCCAGAGAATGTGAAAAAGCATAGGACAAATATTTTATTAGCCTAATTTTCAACTGCCAAAATATCCCATAGAATGTTGGCCCAATAGTTGTATTTCTTTACAGCTTTCGTTGTCCAGACATGAGCCTATAGGCCTATCGTGGCTCATCTACAAAAGTAACGGTTTGAATATGAATCTGTGGAGGGCACATAAGGCCATATGAAAATGTAAACTTCACAGTTTTAGGATCAAAAACTGCGTATCTACAACCATCCCTCTCTCTCTCTCTCTCTCTCTCTCTCTCTCTCTCTCTCTCTCTCTCTCTCTCTCTCTCAGTAGAGGTCATGTCTCATCTCACTCTTCCCACCTTTTCTCCCACTCCCCTCCCTGTCTTTCTCTCTGTGTGTTAGTGGAAGTATGTTTGTAGACATATGAGGATGAGAACCTACTATCAGAGAAGCTATATCTGTCAATTGAAATGTGCCTATCTGAAAGCAATCCTCTCCTTCCCCTGTTCACTAACAACAGTTAGTGTTTTGTCAACCACAACAAAAATAATAATAGTCATAATATTAAAACTGCAATAATTGGTCTACCAATAATTGCAATTATTACCAGTATCATTGCTGTAATAATAATGATAGCCTAATAATAAACATAATAATAATAGTTTTTGTTGTTACTGCATCTGCCATCTAAAACTGATATTAATTCATGTTTCAATTAATTAATTAAGTTAGCTTTCAACATATGTGTTTAATGATTTCATTGCCGTTTTGCTATATAACATTTTACAAGTTGTGGTTATCCACTTATGTCAGCTCGTTCGATTCATAGTATATTGGTGTCAAATTGATTTACATGAATGATTCTAACATAAATGAAGCGATAATGTATCAAATCATCCCTAGTTTCAATACAAACAGACAGGTGTCTGACTATATGTAGTCTGACTTCACCCCTCCCATCCAGCCCACAAAAAGCAGCGGCATACAGGCGCGTTTTTACCCATAGCCTAGCCTACTGTAGGACAGAAAAAGACGCGCAGGAGCATTTTCTTGCTGTTTTACTTTTGTCGTTTTTAAAGACAGCCATAACAACCGCTACTTATGTCATGAAGACAAGCCAATGTACATTACAAGGTTTAAGTTCAGCACATAAATTTAACAATTGAGTGACTGTGATTAATCGTTTTTTAGTCTTAAGTTTTTTGCTTATTCTTCTTCAAATAAACTCAAGTATTTTTGTGTTTCATTCCGTCTGGTGGAAAGGACACCTTTCCTGTCTATTCTCGACATTATATCGAAAAGAAAGAGAAGACTAGTATATTCTGATAAGAGAGAAGATGCATCACGCTGCGGACGAATCGACCTATGCATTTGGTACGTTTGTGAGAATAGCCTTTACATTATTGTCTACAATAATCTCACAATCTATTTTATGAAACACATATAGGTGGGTTTAGGTGTATACATAATGTGTTTCTGCTCAATATGTATTGCAATTAATATTTAATTAGACAATAATTAGCCTGTTATGCGTCCTTGTATCTTTATGCCTGCGCATTGGTAAGGTTCATTATGTTTTTGTGATTTTTTATGTTAAAAATGTTGTGTTTTATGACTAAACAGCTTTTTGATGTATCCATTTTGATAGTCGTTTAATTTACTACCGAGACAATTACCTATTGCCAAGCATGTTTTCACATTCAAACATTTCATTAATGAAACAAACATGCCAAAATGTTCATACTCACCAATGGAGTGGTCAAGTATAATCCACAATAAAACAATACAATAAACTGCAGACGGTGATATTATTTAGGCCATACAGTTTGCTTTAGAATGAAAGTGTTACGCTCAAGACCAATTATTAGCCTATATCAATCAATGATTAAAAGCAAAATACAAAACATCCCTGTGCCTACGGAGCTCAGGCTATGTCTATGAAGAGGCGAAACAGGCATACCTCGATGACGTCCAAGTCAATTCGAAGACATTTTCTAAAACATTAATCAGTTTGAAATGGGCGCACGTTACTTTGGTCACTGTGAGAGACGAGAGACGGAGGCAGTTTCCATGTCGGAAGGCTCCTCCGAATTGAATCGTGATTTGAGGCAGAAACGATCCATACGCTAGGGGGCACTCAGATACTGTAATAGATCCTGTCTGCTGTATTTTCCCCCATTGACAGCATATGCTCTGATTTAGCTGTGTACATTTTTCACAGGACCAAACTTTGACATTTTGAAAGTACCAGCTATAAATGCTCAGACTAGAAACTTCTAGGAGCACATAGGAGCCACTTTAGGCTATATACTTCATAGATATGCTTTGTCTTCAAATGAAACACCATTCACTCAGGCCTTTGTGACATATGTACAAATTGTAGATTAGGATATACATATAATTAAAGTGCCTTGTGTTTTTATTTTTGTGTCAGAACATTTTAATGAAGACCTATGCTACCATGATATAGTTTATCAACTTTCAATACAGTCCATTAATGTTGTTATAGCCTAGAATCATGAACCAATAAATAAAACAATAGCTCATCATAGCTCTGGCTTTTCTAAATTGAGAGAGTTCCCAACTCTCATATAGGATAGCCTATGTCATTGGCAAAGCATTGTGTTGTGGTCTCTGCATCTTAGACACTAAGGCTACCTAAAGTATTTTATAGACTAGTGATTAAAAGCCCTCATGCTTGGGTTTCCTTTACTGTAACTCTATGTAAAAGTTATTTTATCATATACTTGCAAATGTGTAGCCTACACGTATTCATAATCATCATAACCAGAAGTATCAAAAACTATAATGTTAGTCAGAAATAGTCTACTAATAGGCATTTGCGTGAGTTGATAGAAAGAAACCGTGATGTAGCCTGTTCGGAAATAAGATGGTGTAGCCTATATTATATTGTACGAAAATTGACCATCCCAACAATGTGAATGAACATAGGCTAAGTTGTCTGATAATATGCCCTAATCAGCCTAATCAAATAATAATAATAGTCATAACTTTATTTGTATAGCACCTTTCATACAGCTCACGATAGATGAGTCTCCGGACATACGATTTAGAAAGCCTATGTAACATATAGACAAATGTGTTGCAACGAGAGGACTTACAATTTTCAACAAACAAGGTTTAACAATCATTTTCACTTACAGATGCATATCCTGCATTCAAATGTATGCTGTAATTGTTTATAATTTGTTTTGTACAAAGCCATAACCTATAATAATGGTTAATTTCAACTTCTGATAGGCTACTTCTACTGCATTCTGCTATATCTAATGTAATGGTAGGCTAGAGTCGGAAGTTTGAGTTAAATGCAGGAGCACTATATGCTACTGCATCTCATGAAAGCATTTATCAGACACAATATATAGGTGAGGATGGTATTTGAGAGAGGTGAGGATGGTATTTTGGCGTCTGATATATATCAGACATAGGCTATATCAGACGCAATATCAGACATATATCAGACGCAAAAATGCCATCCTCACATCTCTCAGACTATTACATTTCAGGCAACCCACTCACTTAGGCTACTCAGTAACTTACAAATACATAGCAAGAAACAGTATGTGGTCAGAGAACGTAATCATTGAACATTTAGAACTTTATATGTGTATTTCATGAAAATCTGTGAATTGGAAGCATGGTCCTCTCCTCTAAATCGTCTCCTTTTAGGACCAAGCATCTTCTCGACACCTATCCTTGCTTTGGCAAGGCACCAAGTAGCACAAGTGCCGACTAGCCAATGGGGTTCAGGGGGAGGTCCGTGAGCTCTGACCAGTCAAACACAGTCACTTTCCTTATATGGCAGCTCATCTCCATGGTAACGTGTGCTAAGTTGCAGCAGTCGTGTCAAAGTTCACTATATAGAGAGCTCAGTGAGCTGATCAGAGAGAAAACATTCTGCTAGCCCAGCTCCTACAATTCGCAATCACTTCCTAACCTCACCCTTTTTAACATATTTGATCACTTTGATTCTCTGTTCTTTTTCATATTATTTTTCCGTGCATGAAGGAGGTTCTATAAGTTGTGATCTTTTTGTTTTATTATCACTTGCTTGTCGGAGAGTTGACTTCATAGCATTGGCTTCAGCTGCGCGCTGCTGCTCGCACCACCTCACAAGAAAAGGGAGAAGCAGCAATATTTTTTTTACCAGTTGATGATTTTCTTCATGACTTGAGCTGGAACTTGATAGCGCTCTGCTGCTAGTGTGTAGCCTACATCAATTGTGTGTTTTATGCTGCTGTCACGTCGTCTATACGTTCAACTTACTGCTCCGTTTCTTGAATAGGCTACCTCATTTCATTATCGCAATCATTTGCTCTTTTTTTTTCTCCCTTACGAGTCTCCTGAATGGCTGACTGCAAGCGCCCCTGGACTTGGCCTCTAAGCGCAATGCTGCGATTCAGCTCGCCATCACATCAGTTTTAAAACGTGTGCTTAGCGTCGTCTATAACAGCAATACAATTTGACATTTTAGCCAGATTCAACGGACAATCGACAACAGTAGGCTTTTGGCATTTATTTATTTATTTGACTATTCATTTTGATTACAGCGTGCTGCATTCTTTTGAGAGAACAAGCACCGCGAAACCAAAAACGGCAGACAAAAAGTTTCCTTACGTTGACTGATAGATATGGCAATGGTAGTGTGGAGAGACTCCCAGGACGATGTGGCTGAGACCCAAGGTACCCTTTCTTCGCAATCTCAAGGAGGACTATCCCTTCCGACCCCTCAGTTGAATCTGTCAGGCTCTCAGGTCGCCCCTCCGACCCCTCAGACACCAGTCCAAGGACCCCCGAACAACACTGTACAGTCTACGCCGACAAACCAGACGACGCAGTCGGAGAAACAGCAGCCACAGCACATAGAATGCGTGGTTTGCGGGGATAAATCTAGTGGTAAACACTATGGCCAATTTACTTGCGAGGGGTGCAAAAGCTTCTTCAAACGGAGCGTACGAAGGAACCTCAGTTACACATGCCGTGCCAACAGGAATTGTCCCATTGACCAGCACCATCGCAATCAGTGTCAGTACTGCCGCCTCAAAAAATGCCTGAAAGTTGGCATGAGACGGGAAGGTATTGGAATTTTTATTTTCTTATTGATATATTTGTCCTGTATGTCGTGCGCTGAATTAATTATCTTAATTAATAATTGTATGTGTGGCCGTCCCCCATATTCTCTCCCGGACTCTTCTTCCCAAGGCTGCGCGGCCGAAGCACGCAATGGAGCCGCCTGCATTTAGTGCTGTAGACCTAGCGTAACAAACCTCCCTTTTCGCGTTCGATAAAGAGTTATATTTCTTAAGCTCCCTATTAATAATGTGGCCTTCAGAAACAATAGTCATACGAGTTTGGATGTAGATTATTAGAGCTGAACCGTCCTCTTGGAAGAGACAAAATGGATATGCATCTGTATTTGAATACAAGCACATATAGGCTACGGCGCTATTATGGCGAGTGTGGAGTGAAGAGACAGCGTGTTTAGATCCCACACATTACGTGTCGTGTTAATCTCGACCAAAAAACGGAGCTGTACATAGAAAAGGCCATATGTGTATCTTTAGAATTGTTCTATTCAATGATCAGTCGAAAATAGTAGTCAATATAAAATTAGCCGAATAGATTGCTAAGTAGGTTAAGGGTTACAATATGCAAGAACCGCCTTGCCTTTGTGCTTCTATTCAGTTAGCTCATGTTGTTGTTGTAGTCCAACAACAAAATTAGAACGTTAAACCCAGATTTGTACTTCTAAAATGTTTCATAGATAATCATGACTTTTCCGGGCAATACGCTTGTATCGATCTCTACAGTAATTAACAGTCATTGTTTGCATAGCCTACATTTTATTAGGCTATAATTGTTGTAACCTATGTAGGCTTATTGTTTTTGTTTATAATGTTGGATCTATAGATTTCATCATAGCAATTGGATAGCAAAAGCAATGTCTAAACTCGTATTCAGCATGTGTATTCCACGAACTGCTATAGTGTAACAATATTTGGCAAGCCTCCTGGTCAGGAGGGTTACATGTCTCTTGATGTGTAGAATTCAGGCATCAATATCTGCAGTTTCTCTTTTTACTGCAGCGGTGCAACGGGGACGGATGCCACCCACACAGCCACACCATGGTCAGTTCGCCTTGACAAATGGGGACCCACTGCACTGCCATTCCTACTTATCCGGATATATCTCTCTACTGCTGAGAGCGGAGCCCTACCCAACGTCCCGGTATGGCAGTCAATGCATGCAACCCAACAACATCATGGGCATCGAAAACATATGTGAACTGGCGGCCAGGATGCTGTTCAGCGCCGTGGAGTGGGCCAGGAATATCCCCTTCTTTCCAGACCTTCAGATTACTGACCAGGTGGCGCTTCTGCGGTTGACCTGGAGTGAGTTATTTGTGCTCAATGCCGCACAGTGCTCCATGCCTCTCCATGTGGCTCCTCTTCTGGCGGCGGCTGGCCTACATGCCTCCCCCATGTCTGCAGACAGAGTGGTCGCATTTATGGACCACATTAGGATCTTCCAAGAACAAGTGGAAAAGCTGAAAGCTTTGCACGTTGACTCTGCTGAATACAGCTGCTTAAAGGCAATTGTGCTCTTCACATCAGGTAAACTCAAAATTGTAACAGAATATTACATTTCCAGTTATGCAGTGTGAGAATGTGTTTAGGTCACGTGTGCTTGAACTTTCCCCGTTTGAAAACAATGCTAGGCTAGGCATGCAATTAAATATATAAACAGTGCAAAGTTTTCAAACGCCTGGCCTGTCCTAAAATCCCATAGAGAAAAAAAGCATATAAGCTATCAACTAACTGCCTGTAAGCCTATATCAATGCACTGTTGGGCATTAGTCATAAAATGGCCCATCATTTACCTTTACTGATTGGTCAGGCATAGCTACACACTTGATTAAATGTACATCCTGTGTATACGCTGTCCCCAAAATAGGCTGCTCTAAAAGATAACTTTGACCCACATCATAAAAGTCACTAAACTAGTATTTCAGTGAAGAAATGCCATCACAAACAAACTGTCGATATTTTATTGAAATTACACTTTGAGAATAATTTGCTTACCTTTAAGATATATTGTATAGCCTATGTGGAATCACTTGTTTGTATTTATAATGCATTGACAGATATTAATGATGTCACGCTCTAAGGGGGAGGGGTATAGAAAAGGAAAGACGGGCCTAATGCTCCATTTGTTAAACCACTGCATACAACGTAGCCTATTCCCGCCAGGGAGGGCCAGAAATTGTATGGAATAGCTTATCTTATTGACGATTTGATAATAAAATAACAACTATTTGCCTTTCTACCACATTTAGCCTGACCACACGACAGATATTTCAGTTACTGTGGGAAAATACTTTTCAATTCCCCTCTGTTCTGTTTGGGAGATCTGGGGATCGAATGCATTTTATGGACTTGTTCCAGAACTGGGTCATGACCTAGACTTCCCTGCTATATGATTACATTACATAGGTCTCTGAAAGTACAGACCTATAATATAATAATAATATGCCATTTAGCAGACGCTTTTATCCAAAGCGACTTACAGTCATGTGTGCATACATTTTTATGTATGGGTGGTCCCGGGGATCGAACCCACTACCCTGGCGTTACAAGCGCCATGCTCTACCAATTGAGCTACAGAGGACCATGCAGAATTCAGCAATAAATAATCTAATTGATAAATTGTTTTTACAATAGGCATACACCATTGAATTATTTTATATAGCCAACATTTTGCAAACTAGGCTATTGGCCTATTCTACAAAAATACCTGGGCGGTTTAAACAATATATGTTCATTTTATTGCGGGAATTATGTATTCAATGAATATGTAGAGTTTGCACTGCTACATATCATTGACCGCCATTTTTCTTGGTTATTACGGTGACTTGGTTATTACAATCGCTGTTAGGGGTAGCTTCGGTTTCTAGCCCTTCTTCAAGCCCAATCAAAACGCAGTACAGAGGTCACCATGTCACAACTCTCTTTCCCTCTCTGCCTGCGTTCGTGCGTTGGTGTGTGTGTGTGTGTTAACCCAAACTCCTATTTAAATGTAAGCATTTGTAATTAAGTTGGGTGCCTGTCCAGTTCCTTTTAAACAATAGCCTACAGTTTCCAAAAATAAGGCAATAAATAATGACTTTGCCTGTTCTTATTCACCGCGCTACAGTGACATTAATAACCACATGATATAGGCTATTGATAAATGGACATAAACGGCTACGATTATAAGACCGTTTCTCAAGAAAACGTGGTTCATTCAATGTAAATTAAACAAAATATAGCCTATGTTCGCAAACAGATGGGTATCTTCTTTAACAATAAAACAATGTAGGCCTACTGAATATGATCATGATGGTGATATTAGTGGCCATGACTTGCTTATGTTTGATTTGACAGAGTGATATCAAAAACTAAATGTTTGATTATAGGCTACGTAATCACATGCAGTTTGATTGGTTTTTATTGTTTAATCAACATGAAATAGGTTATGTTATGTTATAGGCTACAAGCACACCTCAGCGACCAAATTTAACACCGGAAAAGGGGGATGTTTTCTTTAAATTTACAAACAGCCTAAATTACAAAATATTTTTAAGCGCACCTGTCACGTAATATACCGTATTGCCAACGAGAGGGATCTTATGCATTTCTATTAGTGTTCTGTCATAAATGTGTGTTGAATTTTGAGTTAATTTGCTTATTTTTCAGATGCTTGTGGCCTCTCAGATGTGGCCCATGTGGAAAGTTTGCAAGAGAAGTCACAGTGCGCCCTGGAGGAATATGTTCGGAGCCAGTATCCCAACCAGCCTACACGATTTGGGAAGTTGTTACTTCGTTTGCCTTCGCTGCGCACAGTCTCTTCATCCGTCATAGAGCAATTGTTTTTCGTCCGATTGGTAGGTAAAACCCCAATTGAAACCCTCATCAGGGATATGTTGCTTTCGGGGAGCAGTTTTAACTGGCCCTACATGTCAATTCAGTAAACAGAAGGAATGAACAAAGGGGTAAGACTACAATGGTTAGCGCTTCTTTTGTTGAAGGAAAACGGCTGTTACAAGAGCTTGCTTTCACAAAGAAAGACATTGTTGTAAATGACTGTGAATTTTAAAATTGAGACATTCAGCGAACTTTCAAAATGCAGATAAAAGCTCCCAGTGTCATTCGGAACAACTTGCTTCTTATCCATTTTTAAGAAAAAAGAAAACGAAAAAAAATAAGGAAAAGGATTTTGGTAATCCTCAAAAGGAAAATGGAAACTATAAAGTGCATTTAAAATGAACATTTGGGAAAATTTAGGAGAAAATAAAAAGTACGTTTTCTTTTTCCAAATTACTTGTCCTGTGTCCATGTATCTAGCTGTTTTTTGTACTTTCTTTTGTTCCTCCTTTCTGGTTCCAAACCGGCCTATGTGATTCTGTAGTACAAGTGGTGTTATTTTCTAAAACCATGACTTCTTTTGAAACAGTTAAGTAATGTAAAATGTTCTTCAAGAATTAAAACTAAATCCACAGCAATATAGGAAAATGCTTATAACTACATGCTTAATGCTGCAAACGCACTTACTCTTAAAATGACACACAATAAACTGGACAAGGGTGTTTTTTCGGAGTTCAGGTTCAACTTTCTGACCCAGCTAAATCATTTATCTTTCCAATTGAGTATAGACGTTATGTTCCAGGGTTGCCCTGTTTTGTCACTGCTTAGTTGAGCCAGTCGAACCACATCAGCTCTTACCGTTTCATAGAAGATTCAAGGCAAAACAGCTATTGCTGAACAGTGTGTGAGATCGGTTACCAGTATGTAGGCTATGCTTTATGAACCCATTTCAACTTTGAGCATCCCCACATGCACCCAGTTCGAAATGTTTTGCATCAATTTAAAGACAGTTCAAAACATGTATAAAGCCTAGCTATTGAAGGGTGATTGTGGCTTGTAAACGTAGATGCAGATGTATTATTATGTTCATTTAGGCAGGTAATGCATATAACATTGTGTCTTGAAATGTAGGCCTAAACATCAATGAAAACATCTAGCCATATGATATATTATTTTGAAATTGGAAAGGTCAAGGGTCATATACCTTTAAGTACAGCTGAAATAGTGTTTAATAGCAGTATTATTATGACATCCCTGAAATGTCACCCTCTATACACTTCAAGCATTAAGTGCCTGAAAAGCGCGAAGTAATTTCTTATCAAAACGTTGTTTCAGTATAGAACATTGGGAACACTATTAGATTTGAAACTTCAGTCTTATGCTTGTGTATTTCACTTGAAAAACATTAATTAGAGGCAGTATTGTTGTAAATATAGGTCAATTCATTTCAATGAGTTTTCCTTTATACAAAGTATGTGATTAAGAAAAACTGTGTTTGCTATTTTTTCGGTAATACAACGTCTTCAATTCAGTGGCAGACATAGCTAGTAGCACTGAAAGTTATGTTTGTAATGTATATACATATTAAGACAAAAATGTTTTCTTTTTCATGTATTTAGACTGTGAATGCATGGCCACAGGTCGCTAACCTATTTTACCTTTGATATATATAAATGTAAATGTTTTTGACTGTATAGATATAATCTGTGCATTCAGTACACTAGCCCTTGTATTTAAAAAAGAAACAAAATGTTCAACAATAGGCTAAGACTAAACAGGGTGAGCTGGTCTGGAAAGCTATTTTGACTTAGTGTTCTGCTCCTTTGGTCTGTGACAGATGCCTTGTGTGTGTGTGTGTGTGTGTGTGTGTGTGTGTGTGTGTGTGTGTGTGAGTGTGTGTGTACGTGCGTGCGTGTGTGTGTGCGCGCATGTGTGTGTTTGTGTGTGAGAGAGTGAGTGGAAAAAAATTGTCCTTGTTTTTGGGGCTTTTCTTCAACACACAAAACACCATGTTGTGGTTGGATAAAAAGGGATCATATTGGTGTAGTTGATTGAACAGTGCTCTTTGGCTGTTTCCATGCCACATATGGACCAGAGAATGATACATGATTGTAATTATGAACAGTTTAAACTGACCCACGTTTTTATATAAATATATAAAAATATATGACTGCAGGGTATTGATAACGTATAGATACTTTTTTTTTAATGATTATGATTATTATGATTATTAATTGCAAGTGATATATGTGAGTGTGTGTGGAAGTTTATAGTTGAACACAATTCTTGTTTGTTTGTGTTAGCTTATTGTAAACAAGCATTCTGCTGTAAATTTGTTCTTGGTATTAAATTATAATTTATGAATTTGAAAAAAAATACGTTTTTTCATCTTTTCTTATTACTAATCAGTCAAAATCGTGTGTGCGTGAGAGAGAGAGAGGGGGGGGGGGGGGGGGGGGGGAGCGAGAGAGAGAGACTATTGGGTATGACCAATTGTTTGCGTCACAAATTGAAGTGAAGTTGGCCTATGTGTACCATTGCAGATGAGAGGACTGTTCGTATGTAGGTTTCTTTATATTTGTACATAGCCTTTGGCGCTTTAGCATGTTATATCGCATTCCTTTTGTGAACTTATAACATTACATTTTTACATTTTAGTCATTTAGCAGACGTTCTTATCCAGAGCGACTTACAGTTAGTGAGTGCATACATTTTTCATACATTTTTTCATACATCTCGACGAATAAGGCAACCCTGCAGGTACTGGCATGCCTGACTTGAGATCGTAAATAAAATGCCACAGTGGACCTTAAAAATATGTCTGAGTAACTATATGTATAGGCTACCCTATGTTTTCACCGGAAGCAGCAGACAATACATAGGCTATCAGTTGCTTGATTTTACTCAACTAAGTACCACCTCTACCTCTCTGGTTGCGTATTAGTTGACATTTGTGTTGTCTGTAAAGAGAGATCAAGCGTGCGATCCACCAGCCTTAAAGCGCACTTTAACTCGATGTCCTATTAGTTGAGTCAATATGGCGTCTTGCAATCCGACGCATGCTACGGCTCCCCGGAGCAAAGCAGTGTTCCATAATAGAAACCACATTGCTTAAGAAATAGACCCCCTTCACCGAGACCCAGAGCCTCAATAAAACGATTGGAGGTATTCAACTATTGCTACCGTGATTAGTAGGCCTAACCAACACTGAGTATGTTGCAAAATCGTGAATTATGAATTGTTGTCTCCAAGATAGAATTAAACAAAAGCCTGATGATTATTTAATTACTTTGATCATGCGCAGCACCTTCAAAGATATCATCTTAAAGTTCAATAGGCCTATTCTGTGTACAATTGTTGTAATAAAAATTACTAAACAATGGGCTATTCCATATTATCCAAGAAACATGGCCGATAGGTAAATTATATTTTATTATTTATTGTAATAATACTACATATTATTATTATTACTACTACTACCACTAGGCCTACTACTAGTACTACTACTACTACTACTACTACTACTACTACTACTACTACTACTACTACTACTACTACTACTACTACTACTACTACTAGGCTACTACTACTAGCCTACAGATTACTACTACAATAAATATGCAGCCCCAGGGCAAGGATATAAAAGTGTAGCCTAAACCATACTGTGCAACACAGTGTCAGGATTTATTTGTGTAAATAAATCTCATTTCAGACGACTTTACTATTTCTCAGATTTCAAAGGCATCCCACCATGCTTCTGTCGAATGAATGGTGAAAGTGAACTAAATCTAATTATGCTGTAATTCCATTCAGTTTGCGTTTGTCCCTGTTGGTGTTACTAAATTGTGACTACAATGATAGGGTTGTTTATGATTGGCCCAATCGAAATGTTTTAAATGTTTTTGATGCAGACATTACACCTGTCAATGTGTCTTTGCAGCCTTTTGAGATGTGGGACCATAGGCCAAGATGCAGTACAGGTCATATACTGTATATACTGGCACGTTGCATGTCACTACATCTCTTAGGCCTACATGTAATAGTACTGAAGTCATTAGGCCTACAACTCAGAAATGTCATGAAAAGGGCAATATTAATTGTCTTATTTTCTTTAGATTTTTAATTAATTGCTTTACGATGATAGCCCGATAGGAACACATTTGAAGTAATTCGGATCATGGCTTCACCGGACTGATTTTAGTTGACAGAGCGTGTGTTGAGGCTGAACTCTATAATTTGCACTTCTGTTCATTTATTAGGGTTGGACAACGAACTAATGAGGTTCCCTCAGTACAATGTCACTTTAATTTATTTCCTCGTGAAAAAAAATCCCTTTTGGATATAATAATAATATAATTATTTTATATAGCGCTTTTAATTATACAGATAATCTCAAAGACGCTTAAAAACAAAAAACAAAGTATATGTAGTTCTTGGGCTGGACAAAGGTCTTGAACAGAGGCTGGCGCGTCCAGGTCAACATCCAACTCCGGTGGGCTGCACGTAGGCCAAGCCTACAAAAGTCACCTGAAAGTCAGTCAATATGCCTGTCCTGCACGAGCACTGCAAACACTGCTTGAGCTCTGCAAACGAACAACCAACACTGATTTGTAATCACCACAGCATTGATTGTGAGATTCCTAACGTTTTTCTTTCTTCAGTATATGTATGCGTATATGTATGTCCGTAGCCTATGTATGTAGCATATGTGTATGTTTCTATGTTATATGTTTCTATGTTTGCATAGGCTGTGTGTAGTCCTAGTTATGTATTTGCATGTGTGCGTGCTGTGCGTACTTGTGTGCGAGCAAGGCGTGTGCATGTGTATCGTTGATATGTAGAAATGTCATGTTTGTGATGAAAAACGTGGGAACATTAGGCCTAAGTCATGGCAAAGTACCCAATGTTGACCGCGCTTAAGGTCAAATTACAGCATGATTTATAGCCTTAACTGTGTTTCGTACTATTATTATCACTATCACGGTGTTATCAAGGTGCTGCTCGGAAAACTTAGTCCCAATCTAGAAAGCAACGGTCCAGTTCCAAAACGCTCCTGGACAAAATGCGAAAGAGAGAGACAATAGTTAGCTGATGTTTTCATAATCATGCCCGTCCCACTCATTTATTATGTTGTTTGTTTTGAAGTTTTTTTAGATTGCAGGTAATTTGATAAAGTAGCCTATACATAAAGTGATGGCCAGGCACGACCGGCAACCCACTATTGTGACCCCCAGAGAGAGAGCGTGTTACCTAGCCTATATCTGCCACTGACTTGATTCTGAATCAGGCTCAGAGATAGGCCTTGATGACAAATCGGTCCATGTAGGCTATCTCAAATGTTTGTTAAATTTCTGTAAGTACTGTGTCATTTACTATACTGCTCCTCTGGCCATTTGAGGGGCTACTGTCCATCCAGAATTCGAGCCGAGGACTGATCCCCAGTCACTCAGAGCCTGTGCGTTCCAAAGAAATCTGAAATCGTCTCCATTCAAGCAGTGAACATACAAACCTCGGTAAGCCTTCTGTGACCATCCTGTTGATAGTAGGTCTATGCTAATATAATACATGTCAAATAAACTTTAATACAGTAAGACATGGAAAGTATTAGGCTATTATTATCATTATCATTATCATTATCATTATCATTATCATTATCATTATCATTATCATTATCATTATTATTATTATTATTATTATTATAGTCTAATCTTCAGACCTAGGTCTATTGAGATTACAATTACGCCTATGACTATGCTCTTTTCTAAATAATATTTTTTACAAAACCACTCAGCTTTTTACATGCGCTAAGTTTAGTCATAAACAAAGCCAATATTAGGCTTATTCTCTCAAATCTTGCATAGAGAATTGTGTATTACGACTGCCTGTCAGCTATCTTTGTTATTTTCAATAAAGGGCCTTTAAATCGACTTGGTGCTGCCGGCTTCCTGCGTTCTTGCTCTAAATGTTAGAAAATTGTGCCATCTACCCGCTATTCACAGAACTGTCAGTTCCAGGCTCTCCGGAGACCTCGAGCCAACTGTAACACAAAGGGAGAGACCGACGAGGCTGATGAGAGGCTTCGCTTTTACCATCCCCTCGACTGCAATGAACAACTTTAAATAACATTGAACATCTAGTGCGTTTATCGCTCTAACGCTATCAGACTTGATTTATAAGATCTCTCTCACACTCTCTCTTTCTGTCAATGTTGATATCCAACACGTTTAACGAATGGGTTAATTTCTACGAATTAACATTTATTTTACACATCCGTCGAGCTCTGTGCAGCACCTTATAGGTCTACCTGACTGGCATATTCTCCGGAGTTTTGACTGCTAATGTAAGATGTGTAGGGCACATGCCTAACTTACACTTCATAGCTGAATGACGATGTATCTTGACCTTCAACATTGTTGATACAGTACTAACATTAGGATACATTACATAGTTGCAGGCTATGTTCCATATCAGTCCCGTCAGTAATATTGTAAACGTGCTTCTCTTAACTTTTTATACACTCACTTCTGCACGAAATCCTCTTCCCCGCACTAAAAGCGAGTAATCAGAGCAAATGTAAAAAAAAAAGGGGCCAGTCCACACCAAAATGGCAAAGTTCATCTCGAAAAAACTTCACCGATTTACAAAGGGGCACAAGGCTTTGTGATTATAGAATTGAGGGAAAGGAACGACAACCGCAGTTGAGGTAGGAGTGTGAGAGTGTGTTTTGTGTATAGGCTATATTTGAGTGTTTTAAAGATTTTATTTGAGGCGCTTTGTGCTGACAAGGCACAAGCTCTTGGTCATGGTCTGGGCAACTTTGCAATTGTACATGGAACACTGAACACAAGAAAATTATTTGCCGTTAT